TGATTGTACTTCCTCAAATTAGCAAGGAGGAGGAGGAAGGAGCAGTGAAGGGCAGGGGAGACTGTTTTCTTTTCTTTTCTTTTTTCGTTCTACTGGCTGTGTTTTGACTGGGATCGACAGAGCACACCATGTAGCACATGGACCGAGTGTCGGTTAAGACAAAGAATAAACTCCAAAAAGTCCACTGTCCCCACAAACCCTCCAACTCGGAAATATAGTAATCCAAGGGAAAAAACATGACTTTCTTTATTTCAAAAGGAAAAACACTAACTCATTACGTTTTTTTCCCCTTGTGCAAGTCTTTGCTCTGTTGAGGCGAGTTGTGTGCTGCCTCAGCCGCAGTCACGCTTTCTCAGGGGCACAAAAGCCCATTGCTGGAGCTGAGCCTATAAGTGACCTAGAGCTTAATCTTCTTTTCACTGAACAAGTCCAGTGACAATATTTTGCTCAATTTATGGCTTTTGTTAGTATGAGAAAACACAAGGAGGCAGAGTTCTCCTGAGAACTAGTGTGCAGCAGGAATGGGATTAAAAAATAGGTATGATGTGAGAGAGAGAGAGAAAAAAACAAACACAAAATGCTATTATTCTGTTGACAGCAAAATGCTGAAAAACTCTGGAGTTTCATGCCTCTTGGGTATTTTGCTCCATTGGCAGGAAAAAGTGAGGTTCATGTCTGCATACTATTTCTGGAGTCAGAAATGTTTTAATAATGTTTCAATTTCCTTCAAAGACCTTTCAATTTTTATACTGAAAAGTTTGGATGAACTTTACATATAGACACTTTATAATAGATTAGATCATTAAAGATTTTTAGAGGTCTAGTGCCACTCGTGTCTATCCACATAAAGCAAACCCTTCTGCTAGGACACCTGCTGAAACTGTGGGCTAAAGTGAAGTAAAAGTAGCACTCAAACAATGCAAACCTGTGCAGGCACAAATGCATGAAGAGTAGTGTTGCAGCGATAAGTCGTTGCAACAAAACTAGTCAAATGCTATTCAAATAGTATCAATGTAAATCGTATTTATCATGTTGTTAAAGTGCTCAAAACTGTTCCTTTAGATTTATTAAGCAGTTACTGCAGCTGATTAACTGTGAACATGAAACTATTAGTTCCTCAAGCTAATGAGCACTTTCAAAGAAAACGCACAGGGCCTGTTAAAGATATACCTGCAGACTGGAAAAGCCATAATAATTTGATTTAACTGAATTGATTAAAATCAATTTTGTTAATAGCTTGTAAGTGTAAATTTGGGGTTTTATGGATCGTAAAGACAGTGTTTTCTGGTCTTGTGGTGTTAAATGTATCCTCTTAAAATGGATTTGAATTGGACAATTTTCATATGGCTATCCCTGTATTCAAGACAACTCACATTTGACTCTGAATGTTAATTCTGCAGAGTGGGTGAGATTTTTTTTTTCCACAGACAAAATAAAGTGAAACATTTCAACAGGTAGCAGGTAAACGTGTTTCAGCTTCAAATAAAAATAATGAATAAAAATGACACATTGAAAAGACCAGCATTTTGGGTTGGAGGTTCAGTCTTACTGTCCTGCTTTCACTTATGAATCATCACAGTGAGATTCCAACAATACAGTACAGGCTTCTCTGAATATATACAAAGTACAGCCACCATACACTCCAAGGGACTCACGAAGGTTTTCTACACCTGTGTATTGACTGTCCATTCCATGAACCACTCTTCAGCTGCATCTCTGTGTTACTCTCCTTATCTGGACCAACACTCGTTCGCAGCTTTCCTGAGCCTCTGAGGCGAACTCGTCCTTCTGCCAGAGACTCACATAGAACTACTAAGCTGCTCTGCTCTGGATGCTCACCATGAGCACTGCTCAGCACCCTATCCTGGACTGTATTCCCCAGGAGCCTGTGACATCTTTTTGGCAACCTGGACTTTACCTGCAGGGCAGGCACTGCTGAGGCACACACTCATCTGTCCGTGTCGCAGCGCATCCCTCCACTGCACTAGATAATGATGTAATAGATAACAGTTCTTCCTGCCTGCTGACATGTGAGACTTCTCTCCAGAGACACACTCTCATTGTCTCACTGCCCCTCCAATCCCAGTCACCTGCCTCTGCAAGACACTGCCAAAAAAACACAAAGATAGATGTAAAGAAACATGCAGAGGGAGAGAGGGTATTTCTCATCCACAAAAATAAAAAATAAGAGCTGACTTGACATGGGTTTGATTGATATCATCATCATCATTACATGAACAAAATGGTTTCTGGGTTCGGGGGAGGAAATTAGAAGTTTCGAGGCAGACACTCTCCCTCTCTCCCAGGGGAAAAGCAATTACGCACAGCGAGGAGAGCACAATTGGCGGAAATGGGCTCATGAAAGAGACATAAAATTATTCAACTGACACAACAGCTTAGAGGAGATGAGGAAAGTCTTTTTCACACCAATACTCTCGATATATATACAGTAAAGTCAGTGTGTTATTGTTTTTGGTACCAATAGTCCTCTTGGGGATGAAGCAAAACATAATTTCTGAAGCTCTGGTTAAAACAAGGATGAAAATGAAATGTCGTAGTTAGGTTAAGATCCAAGTTAGACATTAATTTGGCTGCAGCAAGATTTATTTAATGTTCACACTAAACCTCATTAGTTGACAGATCAGTAAGATTATAAAATGACAAAAGGTTGGACATTAATGTGTTCATGAACCTGAAATAAAGTTCTCAAAATTGTCTTAAAAAATATTCAATTACCAGTTATAGGGTAGGAAGCGCACCAGAACACATTTAAGTAAACTAAATAACCATATCTTTACAAAATAAGTTAAAATAATTAGGTCTGTGCAGTTTTAGTTATTACTGAAAATGTAATAACTAAAATTTTCGCATTTAACCCACCACTTGTTCCAGTCCTAAAAATTACCATGTTCTAATTAAGTTAGGGGTTTAGTTCTAGTCAGACTGTTCAAATGAATGAAAGACAACCAACAGATACAACAAAAATAGCAGCGCAATCATGCCCTATTTGTGCGTAGAGGGTGGGGGTGATTTTGTTTTTGTTACTAATTTACTGGCATTTCTGGCACCATCGCTGATGTTTTTAGGACCATTAGTCCTAATGGAGACCAAAGCTGGGTCCTAATGAGGCAGAACTTCATTTCGGAGGCTGTGGTTTCACACAGAATGGAGATAGTTAGATTTAGGCAGTAACTAAGGTTAGAGAAATGGCTGTGAAATAAATAAAGGTCATGCTGAGTTACAAATAACTCTATGACCTTGTGTTTAACTATTTTTTTACAACTTGAACAAGTTCTAGCAAATACTTATAAAATATTAAATTAAAATTAAATGGAAACTATGATTCTGACCATTGACTGTATATAATAGTGGTCAGTGATATGGTTTTCATGAGAATATGAAAAACAAAAATCTGGCTATGCAGCCACACAGCTTAGATTAGCTGCACAAATCTGGATGTGTGCAATCTAGTACCTCAGGAAAAAGTGTTCTTTCTTACTGATTTTTAAAGGACAAGGTTAACCAGGTGGGGACTTATACCAACTGCTTCCAACAACTACAAGGCTAAACCTAGTTCTGTCTGTGTAAAAAGTTAAAATAAATATATGAATACAAGTTGTGTTAAAGGGACAGGTAAAGCATTAGGTGGATCCAGTAGTAAAAGCTCTGTAGAGAGATGGAAGTGAAGTGAGGAGTCCTAACAAGAAAAGCTGCACAATCACGCGTGCGTGTGCGTGTCAAAGAGATATTGAGATAAATCACTGTGCGCCGCTCCTATGCTGGGGTGTACACCAGACATGACCATATGGACAAGGGGATAAAAGTTAAAAGATACACTAAAGGACGTTATTTCTCTGGAAGGAAGTTTTCATCTAAACACATAACAGGAGGGAAAACCATGCAAAATAAGTCTGGCTTGACAGCTAACGTGAATGGTTTTGACAGCTTTTAACGGCGGACGACAGGAAGAAAACCACGGGCTGCGCGGTGTGTTATATTATATTGTTGTGTTATTCGCTTTGTTACTGCTATAGCTGTTTCACTCAACTTAAAGCTTCTCCTTGACACAAACACGCAGAGGGTATAAGACTTCTTCCAGCCTCTTCCTCCACCTCCTTTCTACACTTTACAACTCCGACACAACCGCGGTAGCTTGGACGCAGCTGTCAACGCTGCCTCTTTAACACAGGAAGCGGCGAAAAGAGGAGGAGGGGGACCTAAAATGCGGACTGAAGCTGCAGAAGAGTGACTTACCCGAGCGGCGTATCCACATCTGTCTGCTGAGACGACACATACACAGGACAGAAGGAGAGCCAAAGGCTTTGTCACACTTTGTCGCGTTCACGGGTTTCAGCTCGAGACTAATGAGTAACTCTCCGCCGTGCGCGGTGAGGCGCCAGTTGAAAGAAGAAGATGAAAAAATAAAAGAATCTCCCTACTTGATGTACAATCGTAACTATTTAGTTATGGCAAATGGAGCCTAATCTGTCCTGAGTGGCACCGCTGCGTTGATTGACAGCTATGCAGACCAATGAAAATGAAGACTCTGCGGCGTCGCGTCCTATTGCGTTGTCCGGCCGTAGTTATTGGAAGGTGAGGGGAGAGCGAGTGGAAGACGTAGGGCGACATCATGTGTTTGGACTAGATATCCCTCCGCCTGTCGTGTTTTGACAGCAACGACTCTACTTTTACTATAAAATCAAAGCTCTCTTCGTTTTATTTTTATATTTTACGTCTTGTTATTTTGAAAGAAAATAAGATGTTGAACACAAAATTACAATATCACTGAACAGTTATGTCGTATAGCTTTGCTTACGTGTTTAATTTCAAAGCGCAGCACATATTAACAATCGTTTGTATAGAACTGCTTGTAAGTGTTAAACCGATTACATATAAGAATACGTCACTTTACCAACAACATTAGAAAACACACGTATTATCACAGATCATCCAGTGGACAAACTACTTTTCACGGTTCTACTTTCTCATTCCTGTGCGGAAGAACACGGTGTTTACAGTAAAGGAGAGAGTGACGCTACAGTGACGGAGGGAGTGACAGAGCAGCACATGTTGGAAAAGTATTACGTACACACGAACTTCACTAATAGGAAAGTAATTAAATAATATTCTCAGCTTTTCCAGATATGCTCGTGGCTACGTCACGTCAATCATGACATGAAGTACAGTAATTGCCCTGCAATAAAGACAAACATTTACCTTTCCAATCAGGTTCTGTGTTGGAAGAGTCTTATAGAGTTTGAGATTCTTAATGATCCAATTAAAAACAGCTTTTCAATGCTTTTTATTTTCAAAAACTTCCTTTCTTCTACAAAGCCTTTGGAAGTTTTTATATCAGAAATAATTGCTCAGGAAAAGAATGGTCCTTAAGTGCACAGTGCTTTTTCAGTCCACCCAAAGTGCCTTACACTATGATGAGCAGAAATGTATGTGGGTGGTATGTTAACTACAATGTCAGGAATTTGTCCCACAGCCTTCCGGTTTAGAAAAAAGACAAAACAAACAACTCACTACCCATTGATCCACAGCCACTCCACACAGCCTGTCAACCTTATAAACCTGATCTTGTCTGATATTGTAAATGGCTCTTGTATACCATGGCTGTCTCCATTTTCCTTGATTAAAGTCTAAAGACCATGAAAACAAGTCTACTGTTGACTGAACAATCTCAGAGGAAGTTGGAATGATTTCTGTGCCCACTGAGAGGCATTCAAAGTGGTTTACAATAACAGGTAATTTTTAAACAAATATTATTTCATTGCCCATTATCAGATACAAACATTTAAGTTGATCAGTTGCCATGCAGTTGACTTTGGAAATATTGGGGGGGGGGGGGTTCCCTATGGACATTGGTGCAAAGCATGAACAGATTTTTGTAGGTTTTGATACAGTACACATGTTCTAAATTTCAGACATCTTCGTTTAACACACAGGAAGGGATCCTGAGTTCATATAGGGGGCGCTACAGATGTTATTCATCTCTAGTCTGCATAACTCACTTCAAGTCTCGGGGAACATTTTTCAATGACCTATTCAGCCAACAAGGAACTGCGTGCCAAAGTGTA